AACGCTGGCGTCAACGTTGACATTACCGTTGGCTCCACCGCTAGCGCCGCCGCTCGTCCCACACGAAACTGTTGGCAATTATAGCGATTGTTAAGTATTGGTTAGAATTGTTGTTTAATTAACATTTGATTAATACTTACAACCGAAAGGTATGGCCGAGACATAAGTCGACACTAACAGTAAGGCTACTATTTTCAGCATTTTGTCTTTGGTATAGTTTTTTTGAGTGAAAATAATTTCAAGTCAAAAGTTAACTTAAATTCTGTGTTTTCTAAGCGCTCTTTATATACCATAAAAGTTGTGCTAAACATTTGTTAAATCATTAATTTAAATAATATTGTCTTATGATATTGGATTTACGTATATTCAATAAATCATAAACTACTCAGAACATTTATTTAATTAATTATTTTATTTTTAACAGGTTAAATTTCTATATTTATTTGTTTAATGCATAACAATTTTTATTAAAATAGCTACTTATATTAATTGATTTATAGATATTTATTATTTATTGCTTATAAGTTATAACTCTATAATGTTTTAATTGTAAAATCCTATGGAAATTGTTATAAATTTATTTTTATATTAAATATTTTTGCAAAATATATTGTGATAATTAATAGCATAATAAAATTTAGTTCGTTATGACGACAATAAAATTGAATATAAAAATAAATAAAACAATACTTAAACACAATGTGTAACTTAAGAAGCAACTTAAATTAACTTGATACTATAACTTTTATTTTATAATTATAAAATTGATGTATTAAGACTCTAAATTTTAGAGCATAAAATATGTTGTGTATTTAATTACAATTTTAAAATATTATAAGTTAACTAAAATTCATTTTACATATTTCTTTTAATTAATTTGTAATGAGTAAATAAAATATTTATTTTATAAATAAAATTAAAGCATTTATAGGATTAGCATTAGTTCCCTAGCAAAGTAACTTTAGATATATGCATTTTACATTTATTCATCTATAATAAAATAATTCTAAAGCCAGAGTTCCGAATAGTCTAATTTGCCTTGCTTGCAAAGGACTTGCTAGAACTTTCTATTGTCAGAACTGAATTTAATGCCGATATACAAGTAGTTTAGCCCTAATAAAATAATTTATTTAAATTAACTTGAGCTGATACGCAGAAACCACCAATGATATTGCCAATTATGTTTAACAGGTGTTTATAGCATAAGATGTTGGTGACTATTCACCATTTGGTGATTTAGGTTATGTAAAACACCACTTTTCAATGCTAAACCATACGCGTGATTACAAAACTCGATCGTTTCTGTTTATCAATCTGATTAACTTGCACTAAATTATTTCATCTACCCTAAAATTTATAAAACTTGCAACTAAATTAAATTCTGGTCACAAAAAGCACAATCTGATTTCATTCTTGGTAATATTAATATTTTTATAATTTGTAATTATTAGTTCAAATTATTAGTACATAGTTTTTAATATAATATTGGATAATAAAATTCATTGTTTGATGACTATTGTTTTTTAATAAAATTTTTTAGTAATTTAAATAATGATTTAATTTAAATAATCTTAGAAATAATATTTAATTTGATATAATTTTTAAAAGTATTTGAATTAAAATAATTAATTTATTAAATAAATCAATTTGATTGGGCAATTGTGTAACCATGATCATATTTAGCCTTTGTTACTCGATAGTGTCTAAATTTGGGTGCAATTCTAGTCTTTTCGATCTTTATATACCATAATAACAGTTGTGTTAAATCATTAATTTAGATTGTATTAAGTTATATAAGTAAGTATTACGTGTATTTAATGAATCACAAATGGTTAATTGATTATTTTAAACAGGTTTAGTTTATATAAAATACTTTATTTGTACTTTCAATGTGAATTACAATTTATATTAAATAGATTCTAATATTATTTGATTTATAGTTATTTTGTAATTTTTATTTTATTATAATCCTTTACAATG